GCCCTCCTAGAGAGGCGATAGGTCTGACCATCCAGTGAAGAAGCTGTGCTCTGGATATCAGGAGCTATACTGCGGGGAAACTTGGGAACAAACAGAAGTGTGGAAGGCAGAAAGCTGCATCGCCTGGGGCTTCTCCCTTTCCCCTTGCTTGGGAAAGGGAGGAGCCAACTCAAGGGGTTTCATGCTCACCACTATGATTTCATCCTGCAGGGGAGCTGATGTCTTGCAGCCAAGACCTGTTCCCAGCCTTGAGCCCCTCCACGGGGCACTGGGGACTCACCTGAGCATCTCCTGGGGTGCACAGCAGGATGGTGAAGAGCAGGGCCACGCTGAGCACTGGGACCTTCACGTTCCTCTGTGCTGTGGGCAGTCCTGGATGAGGCTGGAGAAGGTGAGGGGCAGATTTATCCCTCCCAGGACTCCTCCTTGCCCTCCCCAAGAGCACGCAGGGCAAAGGCAGACTTGGCAGAGACACCAGCCCCGGCAGCAAGCCCGGCCTAGGCACAGTCACCCCTGCCTCAGCCATGGCCTCAGCCACCTTTGCTGGCATCAGTCCAGCTTCCTCCACGGGGTAGCTGGACATGCAAGTGCCCTGGCATCTGCGGGTGGTGAAGGGGAACAAAGGACCCCTGACAGACAGAGGTCCTATGGTGTCTGCCCACTGCTCCAACACAAAAGCAATCTCCACCAGCCCCCCAAAGCCAGATCGCCCTATCTCCCAGTGCCCCTCACCTCCCAGCACTACCATCTCCCAGCACCACCTGCCTCTCAGGACTCCCTTTCCCTCCAGGACTCCCTTCCCCCCAGGACTCCCCCAGGGATGATGCTAGCCTCAGACCAGGGGTCTCTAAGCAGAACTGTCCCTGCCCCCTCTGCACCCCTTGGCTAAACAATGGGCTGAGAATGACCCCTCTTCCTGGGGCATGAAGGATCCCGGGATTAGGGAACACTGGGAGGTGGGAGGACAGCTGCAGTGCACTGGCAGGTGGGGATACTGCCGGGTGACTGGGATCTTCAGGCACGGGAGGCGATGGGGAGCACTGGTGAATGCTGGGCACTGGGAGATGAGGGTTCGGCTTGAATGAGTGATAGGGTGGTCACAACGCCCAGCTCCAGCCCAACCCATTTCCCAAGCAATGCTGGCCCCAGTCAGGTCCAGTCCACAGCTGTGGCCTCCCCAGCGCAGAGAACGGAGCAGAATATCCCCTGCCCTGGCCACCAGTCTGCCACTACCTGGAGCCACCATACCCACCCAGATCACTGGAGTCCCACTCTGCAGAGCTGCCTCCAGATAGCGGGTCCCAAGGACTCTATCCCCAACAAGGCTCTGGCGCCAGCCACGTCCCTGGATGGCACTCGGCCACTGCTCACCCAAGGCCCTTGTCCCCAAGGGGTGTCCCTTCAATGCCCTCATCCTTGGCCAGGCTGGCTCTGTCTCCGAGCAGGATGTGGCCATCCGGAGGGACACCCAGAAGCAGATGCTTGACCTCAGGCAGCCACCTGGAGCTAACTGCAGGGACAACAGAGTTCCCATGGCAACAGGAGAGATATTTGTTCTTGTCATCCCTCCTCTCTGTATGTGTGGCTGATAAGCTGTATTTGCCTAGGCCCAGGAAGTGCTGGGGTGGTCACAGTGCCCAGCTCCAGCTCACCCCATTTCCCATGCACTGCAGGCCCTAGTCTGGTCCAGTCCCCATGTTGCCCCAGGGGAGCCCAGAGGGAGCCTTGCTCAGCCCCATTGTGACATCAGAGCCGCCATTCTTGACTCAGAGTCATGGGCACCCATACAGCGTTGTGGGGCAGGGAAAGAGCCCACAGCTGCACTGACTCTTGCCCCGGGCAGGGACACTCCTGTGGAAGGGCAGCGTGGAGCTGCTGCTGGAGCTGGTTTTGCCTGAGGAGCCCAGACTGCTGAGGCTTAGGAGGAAGAGCTGAGCAGGGAGGCTGCCTTTGCGCAGAGATGCCAAGGAGAAGGGCACCGCAGAAAAGGGAGAAATTGAGCTTAAATATCTCCTTAGAGAGCACGAGTGATCGACGGTCAGCAGGAGGGGCGGCAGAGCAGAGCCACTGCCAGGAGAGTAGGTAGGAAGCTGGCGGCTCGTGCATGGGGCATCAGGTTAGGACGGTAGCTGGGACACGGCCTAATAGAGCCAGCAGATCATGGATCAGCATGGGGAAGCTGACAGATGCTTCTGCACAAGAGCCCTGTGCATTGCCCATCTCCCTTCTGGTGGGCCTTGGCTGAAAGCATGGCTTGCTCTCCCAGCAAGCACTGTGAGCAATCAGCATCTTTTTTTTTTCCTGCCACAGGAGCCTTTTCACAGAGGTGGAACAGGGGGAATGCTTTTCTGAGTCCACTCCCAGCTCACCCGCTCGAGGGCCACCAAAGCTTCATGACAAGGCCAGAGCACTTGCAAGTAAGCTCAGCACTGGTTCTTGCTGCCAAGTCCTTGGGGTGAACTCAGAGCTGCACTGTGCCAGAAGTCTGGCAAAGTGTCACAAGTGGCTGGAGAAATGCAGGCTGCCCTGCTCTTCACCCCAGAGAGGTGGTGCCTAGGGCTCGGTGCTTGCCTCCCTGCAGGGAGCCAAAACACTCTTGGCTGAGCATCCTGCAGAAGAGACCTCAAGACACAGGCCTAACTTTTGTCTGCTTTCTTTGCTCAGGGACGGTCTTCAGCCTCATTTGCCATCTGGCAGGTACCCCTCCATCCCTGTGGAGATACCTGCTGATCGTGTGCATCTTCCCTGTGTATGTACTACCTGTTTCTGCTGTTGGGCTTTTGGGGAGGCAGAAGCCTCATGCTGCAGAGGTCAGGGTGCAGGGAGGGAGGGGCTGAGAACTGGGCTGTGCTGCCGGCTGTGCTTCGAGCAGTGGGGACTGCTGCTGCTGCTGCCGCCAACTTCTTCCTCCACTGCAGGCTGCATCTTTGCTGGTAAAGCAAAGATGGGGAAAGGAATATGTACGTACTACATGTTTCTGTGCTGGACACGGGGAGAAAGGAGATGTCTGAGGGCCAGTGCAAGCAAAGGGGAGATCAAGGGGTGTTCCTCAGCCAGCTTCCCACTCTCACGAGCACTGCTCGTGTTGTGGCCATTCTCAGGGAGGGCCAAGAGTAAAGCCCCTGGGCAGTACCCAGCCCGACCAGAGCCGTGATCTAGCCCTTCCGGGTAACTGCCCCATTTACATACTGGGCATGACGTGCTGTGGTATGGAATACCTCTTTGGCTAGTTTGGGTCCGGTGTCCTGTCTCTGCTTCCTCCTGCCTTCCCCTCCTCCCTGGCAAAGCATGAGACTCACAAAGTTCTTAGTCAGAGTAAACATTGCTGAGCACCAGCTAAAAACATAGGTGTTATCAGCGCTGTTCCTAGGCTGAAAGTCAAAGCCACAGCGCTGCACCAGCTACTAGGAAGGAGAAAAATTACTGCTATAGCCGAACCCAGGACAACTTTGTGCTACCTGCACCCATTTTTCTAACAGCCACAGCTCCTGTACCTCCCTCTGGCCATTGCCTGTCTTTCAGCCTGGGGAGGAAGGGAAGCATTCACAAAGCAGAAAGCCCCTGTGTGTCTGCTCCTTGCAGAGGGAATGGGCTGCTCTCTGACAACATCTGCTTTCCTTTTCCTGCAGGATTTTGCACATCTTTTGGACAGAACGAGCCCAAAAGCTGCAGGTTCTCCTGGACAAGATGGATCAGCTGGAGGGGGAGATAAGCAGTTTGAAGAAGGTAACCCTGCATTTTGGAGAAGAAGGCTTGGCTGGGCAGAAGCCCGGAGGAAGCACTACCCATTCTCCTTGCCATGCACTTGTCAGTAGCACTCCCCAAAGGAGGATGTCCTCCAGGTGCTGCTCTGCAAAGCAGGGGAGCTGAAAGCCGCGGAGCTTCATGAGGTCCCAGAGCAAGTCTGTGGCAATGGCTCTCTTGGATTCCCTCCTGGTCCCGCCTCTGCGCAGGTGCCTCTGGCACTGCCCCACACACTTTCCAGGGCTGATGGAGGGGCTCCCTCATCAATGCATTTGGAAAGAGAATGGGTGGGTCATCCTTTATTGCCCACACAGCAAGCCCTCAGCTTTGGTCTGCTGTCATTCACCAGCACCCTCAGACCTTCTACTTGCGGTGCTGAGAGGAGCAGACACCAGGCATATGGGTGCTGTCGTCCTGCGCAGCTAGGCACCCCTACCAGCATGGAGATGAGGAGAGGACTGACAAAACATGGAGCTGTCCAGCAGCATCAGGAAGAGGGTCTGAGCACAGGGTCCTCCTAGTCTGTGGCCTCTTGCAGTCACCTGCTCTCCCTTCCTTACAGGTGCCAACATCGACATGCAGAGAACTTCGGAGACCTATGACAATTGGGGCGGCAGGGTTATACGGCTCTTCCGCTCTCCCAACCCTCCTGATACGATTTTGCAGGTATTGTAGCAGAAATCACCAGTGCATGTTTCCTTCCTGCGAAGCTGGAGACTGACCTTGGGGATTGTCCTCTCAGTCCAGTGGTAATGCTCAAGGCCACAGTGCTGATCTGTTGCCTGAAACCAAAGCTTGAACTCAGGGCTGGGCTTGATAGAAAGCAGTAGCTCCCCTCGGGAGGGGAACAGAGCTCAACTGCTGCATCTTGCCCACAGTCCTGAGTCACAGCTGGGTGAACAACTTTCTCCCTGGTGACCTCATTTTCATACTCAGCCCTAACAGTTCCTTTGCGGGGTGGGAGGCAGGGGGTCTGCAGAGCCTCTGGGCAGAGAGGTGTATCTGTAAGGCCCTGACTAGGTTGGCTTAGTAACAGGTATTCTCCTCCTTCCATAATACTGAGAGGCTGCCACTTTTGTCCATTTCCTCACACATGCCTCATTTTCAAGCCGGAATAGACCCCACAGACACACCAGCACCCGTGCTTCAAGTTACATGAGCAGCTGAGTTGAACTGAACATGGGCTCACGTTTCATTGCTCTCCCATTCTGATTGCAGCCGGACATTTCCCCAGGAAACTGCTGGCCTTTACAAGGGGACCGGGGCCAGGTGGTCATCCTGTTGCCAGCACGAGTCCATCTGACTGCTGTCAGTGTGCATCACAACTACAAAGAGGTCGTTTCGTCTGGCACCGTCACCAGTGCCCCCCGAGACATCGCTGTCTTTGTAAGTCTCTGCTGGGTGCTTCTGGCTGGCATGTGGCCCTGGGGGAAAGCTGTGACTGGAACTTGCTTGCTTTGTGCATCCTTGGACGTTCGTGCCCTGCTTTCTCCTAAGCCCTGCAGTGCGCCTGCAGGATACTTCAGGGGCTCTAGAGGTTCCATCCCTCTCAAGACTCATTCTGGTGAGAGCACCTCAGGGCTCTTGAGTAAAACACAAGGTGGACACAGTGCTTAACTCCTGCTAGAGCCCCAGGATGCAGTGTGCATATCAGCATGCAGTATGTGCTGATCCAGCACACACAAACATCCTCTTTGTTGGGACAAGTCTGAGCTTCTCTCCTTCCTCCTTGTGCTTTTCCCTTGAGGGAGTGAATGCAGACACAGAAGAGGAAACTCTCCTTGGGACGTTCGAGTACAACGTGACAAAACAGGCCATTCAAACCTTCCCTCTGAAGGTACGGTCCGTGCACGAGGGCAAGATGCCCAGGAGAAAACCGGGAGTGCCTGCAAGTCTGTGGCAGGAAGAGCGTGAATGCTCTCTCCCCTGGCACAGGGGCCCAGACCACTGCCGAGGAGGCCTGGTGGAGTTGGGAGGACTGAGTAGCATGCGGTGGGGGTAGCAGCAAGAGATTTGCAAGGGCAGGGTTGTTCCTGTGGGATCTTAAGTCCTGAGAGACCCCTGGCTGCAGCTGTTGCCTTCAGCAGAGCCAGCTGCACACATGGCCTCTCCACCAGAGCAACATCTTTGTGCCAGGAGAAATAGGGATACCTGGTGGGGAAAGCTGCCGGGCAGCATTGTCACTCCACCCTGTGGCCTGCTGACAGGCTGGACAGTGTCCTTTCCTCCCAGCACAACAAGTCCCTTTTCTCCTGGTGCCCTCACACCTGCCAGGAGGAAGGCAGGCAGAGAGCATAGCGGGAGCTTAATGGGCTTTCACACCAACTCTCTCACGCATAGGAGGACCTCCCCAGCCTCTCTGTCAGCACAGAGCAAGCTGCAGAGGGAAAGGGGCAAAGGGAAGGGAGTCGCAGTCCCTGCCAGGACCGGCTGCAGAGGCTGCCTTCTTCCTTCCCATGCCTCCAGTCTCTGCAGGAGCCCCGGTACCAGCAGTGAGCCTCAGATGTCTACCCACTTTTGGAAGCTTGTTCCAGCAGGAACAGGGTGGGCAGGGGGAGAAACATCAATTGCACTGTCACACGTAACGCCTCCGTTTTCTTGTCGCTCTCTTCACAGAACACACACATAGCCTTTTCACGCGTCAAACTTACTGTGGAGAGCAACTGGGGAAACACAGCCTACACCTGCATTTATCGAGTGCAGGTTCATGGAAAGATGGCAAAACCAGAAAACCTCAACTGAAACCACAGCAGAAAAGGAACACAAATAAAAAAGAGGGACGAATGGTTTGTCAGATCAGAGTGGTGTAGATCTGTCTCCAAAGGAGGGCAGGTCCACTGGGGGTTGGGTAGGAGCCCCCCCGACATGGCTACAGGGCAGCCTGCAGGCAGCGGATGTGGGTCACCAACAATCCTTGGGACAGCTCCTTGGGGTTTCCAGGGGCTTGTGAGCTCCCCCTTTTAATTTCGCAGAAGTGGGGCCGGAGAAGCATCAGATTCCCCACTGCACCATCAAAGGGGTGTGTGTGATGGCTGCCTTCTCCTGGGGGTGGTTTCAGGGCTGTGCAGCCAGCTGTGCAGCCAGGGGTACCCAGGGTTGCCCTTCCAAGCACGGTCCCTGCACCCCAGGACCCCAGTGTGTTGGAGGAGGCTGGGTGACGTCATCTCCCTGCTGAAAGAGCCAGCACAGGGCGGCTGAGACCAAAGCTGATGGACAGGTGAGATCTTTCGAAAAGCTCTTTGATCTCTCGTGTGAATTTCATCTGACACAGCACCCCCGTACCCGCTCCCGCCATGTTCCTCTTTCCTTACTGCTGGAGGGCAGGACTGGCTCTGCCAGAGCCCCCAGCAGAGCCCCCTCCTTTCAGTGACACCCTCAGCCTGCACCAACCAGAGCTCATGGAAGGGACCTGCCAAAAGTCTTCCTGAAACCAGAGGAGAGGCAGTTTCAGGGTGTTCTGTGAAGCAAATGTCCAGTGCCAGCTCCATCACCCACTTCCTCCTCCTGCCATTTGCGGACACGTGGGAGCTGCAGCTCTTGCATGACTGACTCTTCCTGGGCATCTACCTGACTGTGCTCCTGGGCAATGAACTCATCATCACCACCACAGCCTGCAACCAGTGCCTCCACACCCCCTGTGCTTCCTCCTCGACCGACCCCTGCTGGACCTGTGCTCCATGTCCACCACTGTCACTAAACCCATTGCCAATTCCCTCTGGAACACCAGGGCCACCTTCTTCCTGGGACCTGCTGCCCAGGTCTTTTTCTTTCCCTCCTCAAACACAGACGAGTTTTATTTCCTCACCATCACGCCCTGCAGCCCCTATGTGTCCATCTGCCAACCCCTGTGTGACGGGACCCTCCTGGGCAGCACAGCTTGTGTCCACAATGGCAGCAGCTGCCTGGGCCAGAGGGTTTCCCAGTTCTCGGCTGCACACTGTGGGACTTTGTCACTTCCCTCTGCTAAGGCAATACCCAAAGGGAAAAAGCTGGGGGGAGCAGGGTGGGTTCCTGTCCCCTCTCTGCCTGTTCTGGGACAGTTCTGCCACTGTCCAGAAGCTCTGGGAGAGCTTGGGAGCCCTTCTGGGAGGCCGTGTATGAGGAGATCGCTTACAGCTCAGCATGGAGGAAGCAGGCAAGGTTCAGTTGCCCATGTTCAGTGGGTCCCCTCCATGGGGCACATCTGCCAGGCTGTGCTTACTCCCCCCTTACTCCCCCACCCATGGCTGACCCCCTGTGCTGCGATCTGCAGGGAGAGCAGCAAGGTCCTGCACCCAAGAGAGGAGCTTCATCTCACCAGTTCTTGCTGTCCAAGCCAGGGACAGCCCCTCTCTGTGTGCTCCTGCATGCTGCGTGACACCTCAGGGTTGAGGGAAGGTCCTGTCCCAGGGCAGCTTGGGAGACCCTTTGAGACAGGGCTTGTCCCAGGGGAGCAGGGTGAGTCCTGTGCCCTCCTCCCACTCAGCCTTTTCTCTGTGGGTCCCCCCAGCAGCGAGCACAAGCTTGGTCACCAGAGCACATCCCGTAACATCTCCAGGTCCCTGACTTCTAAGATTCTACGATTCTTTCAGACTGCAATTCGTGATTCTCTCTCCTTAACTGTTGGTGTTCTGGCGGACTTGTCTGTGGTATTTAACCCATGGCAAGGGTCATGCAGAGCATCTGCGTTTCTGGCTACACCCTTCAGAGAAGCCCTGTGTGCACTGCAAAGGGGAGTGTTGAGATGGGCTGTGTCCTTGGGGAAAGCCCTGTTCCTGCGGGACACACAGCCCTGGGAGACAGCCTGTAGGGAAGGGCTGTGCGGCCTTCACAGGGCAGTGTTTAGCTCCAGTCAAGTGACATGAGGCTCTCAGAGCTCTGTGCCTTGCTCACGCTGCTCCTCTCCCTTCATCCTCACCTTGCTGGCTTCTGGCTGAGGCACAGACATGGAACGAAGACAGCCAGTCATCCTCAGCCATGCACACCCCCTCGCACTGCAGCTGAAGACAAGAGACCAGTTCTTGGGGAGTGTTTTTTATTAGACTCATATTGGAAGTAGTAGAGGTGCCATGTAGAGGGAATGTCGGAGGCCAAAAGAGGGAGCAGGTATTCCAACACTGAACACAAGAGGTTGTACAAAATGTCAGTGTTCAAATGTCTCCTTCATCATCTAGAAAAGAAGAGGCTACTTTATAGTAAAACGTGGCTCACTCTTGCTCTGTGGGAAGGCATATTGACCCTTGCAGGAATACGAATGACTTGCCAGGGTATAAAAAAAAAAAAAAATAAATCCAGCTATTTCTAGAACCGCTCACTCTAATTTTATTTATAGTGGAAATTCCCAAATTACTCACTTCCAGGGTAACTGCAAGACATACCTCCTCTCTGGATTTCAAAGAGAAGTCCAGTAAGGACAAGGCCTGCTGCATGCAGTATGTTTTGGAATAGGGTTTTGGTTTTCCTCTACTTTTTCTTATGGAAGCTGCTGCTCTTTAGCAACAGCCCTGCTGAATTCCTCACCCTAGGGGCTGGTGGTGAAAACACAAACCTAACTGGAGATCCTCCAGCTCTCTGGTTCTACTACAGTGCTCAGAAAGAACCAAAAGACATGGTCTACAGCAGCAAGAATAAGAAAAAACTGATAACTTAATCCCTCTGGGTAGCCTAAGTAAGTGTATAGCAGCATCCTTTAACAGCCTGGTACAAGACCTCTCACTGGGGAAGATAACAGCTCTCTACGCGCTAGCTGTTGGCTCAGCAGAGGAATTCCAGTAAAGCACGTTTTGTCAGTCTGGGGGCATCAGTATGATGTAGCTTTTATTTTCTTCACGCTCAAAAGTCCAGTCTGTGAACCTGTGCCACAGGCTGCATGCAGCTTCATAGCTAGAAGACATGTACTTTCCATTTGGAACATCTGGATTTCTCCTTTAGAATTAAAAAACAAGTCATCTCATTTGCTGGAGAAAGCGTTGTGTGTGGCTATTTTCTGAAAGACTGCAAAGCAGCTCTAAGCAAAACACCAGTTGTCTGTTACAGGAGTTAACCCCGCAAGCCGTGTGCACTCCAAAGGGTCCAAAGGAAGGCTATCTGCTTTATCCTAGCCCAGTTTCAGCATAAAGTAGTAATGCAATATTTAATGAAAATGGTAACTGCAGTTACCTGAGCAAAACTGGCTTTTTGAGACACCAGCTCCCTCTGCCTTACAGGATTCAAGCTCCTTGCTTAGCTTATCTCATGGGAAGTATCCTAAAGTTCAGTGTACAAGTACAGGACTTGAGTGAGGATTTAGTTTGTGTTCTAAGTCTGTGGTGAGATAACAGGATTTAGTGGCCCTGCTAAACATGAGGGAATAATTTCACACCATCCTTCTACTTATCAGTTAGAGGCAGTGCCTCCCAAACATCTGCTAGTTTTGGATACTCCTTGTCTGCCCGTCCTGTTTTGCTTGCAATAAATTTTGCAGGAAGGTCACAGCATTCTAAATCTTTGCCAGCTATAAGAAGAATTGCAGATATGGCTGGTTTCAGCTAGTTGTGTGATTACTGGGGCACCCAACTGTGCCAAAGGTGAAAAGTCCAATGAGCTTCCTAACGGTTCCACCGACACAGCAGTGCGCTCTCACTTTGGACATAAAACTGCACGTGCGTTCTGCTTTCCTGGTGAGCACTTCCAGCTGTCCTGGGGCACGGCCCACAGAGCGCAGACTTCCAGCCTCCGCTCAAACAGCCAAGATGCCAGGACAGTAAGCTGTTGCTAGCCATCGCGCACACACAATGTGAGCTCCACAGCAGTGCCACCAGCACGGTAATCCGCCCTTGTTTTGGCACTTGAAACTGCATGTGCATTCTACTTTGGTGCGCACTTTTGGCTGTCCTGGAGCATGGCTTACACCTTCTCTAAAGAAAAGAACCCACCCCCAAAAAAAGAAAAAGATACGGCGTACAAACAGCCCCCATCCCCAGCCCACGGTATTGTGGTGTTCCATGCCACAGCACATCATGCCCACTACCTAAAGTCGGGGGAGCTATCCAGAAGGCCCAGAAGGAGGAACGGGTGTGTGGATGAACTTCCCAAGAAAGTTGCTGCTCCAGTCTTTGGTGAGCAGCTTCCCAGCTGGAGTGGAAGAGATGATTTTACTCCAACTCCTGTGATAAGGAATACTAATCCCTTTCTACAAGATATAAGATGTTATGATCAACATTAGAGGGGCCCTGCCTCCAGCCACGTAGAGGAGTGGGACAATCAGGTTTGCTGAACTGTGTGGATCAGATGACCTGGCACATCAGTCCCACAGAAGTATAAGGCTTTAGTAAATACCAGTGCACAGTGCACCCTGATGCCAGCAAACTATTAAGGGGTGGAACCCATTTGTATTGCTGGAGTGACAGGAGGGCAGATACTGAAGTAGCAGGAGATGAAAACTGACATGTCTTAGAGGACAACATCACAAGTGGAAAAAGGAAAACAAATGTAAAGGAGTGTCGTGGTTTAACCCCAGCCAGACAACTTGTTCACCCACTCCCCCCCACTTCTTGCCCTCTCCCTACTCCTGGAGGGACGGAGAGGAGAATCAGAAAGAATGCAACTCCCACGGGTTGAGATAAGAACAGTTTAGTAACTAATGTATAACACAAATCACTACTGCTACCACCAATAATAATAATGATAAAGGAAATAACAAGGGAAAAGAATACAACACCTCATCACCAGGCGACCGATAACTCGCTTCCCCCAGCCCAGCCAAGCACCAACCCATACCTCCTCCAACCCTGCAGTCCCCTTTGCCCTTCTGG